TGGTAGGTGATCGTCAAATCCAAATACAAGCGTGACCTGGCATGGCCTCATTGAGGTTGAGTCTGCTAAAAGCTTCATCAAACAGAACTTCGCTCACTTAAGAAGTGCAGAAAGATTACTGCATTCATTCGAATATGTGTCACGCCTTCCTGTTGTCGTGCAGACAGTCACTGCCCCTTTTGTTCATTCTGATACCACTGTGATTGATGACAAATCTGGCAGCCTTCAGCTGAAGTTGTTAGCAGTGCCGGGACAGGAAGTAATCTTCTCAGATAGGATGACCGACCGCAAGCTCATTGATGCCATTGATGGCGGATTGATAGGAAGCTTGCCCTGCGCCGATCTATTTTTTAAGCGTGCGCCGTCTGTTTGCTACCAGGCAACCTTGCATCGGCTTCCTGATGGGAAGTCCTTCAAACTGGAAATTGCCATCCTTTGGAAGGACTCGACAGATATTCTAGATGCCAGAAGTCTATCTTCTACCTCATCCAGAGTCTTTTCGAGGTATGTTCTGAGACAGGGTGACGGTTCGCTCATGGAGCACACAGCACACACCGGAAGATATCAAGGGCAGGAGGCAAGCTGGTCACCACGCGATTTCTATGAAAATGTTCATGTACCACCTGATACGCCCACGGGCTCAGCCGAGATCAAATGCGCCCTGACAGAGTGTCAGCTCTTCCCCTTTCAGAGACGAACAGTCAGGTGGCTCTTGCAGAGGGAGGGCGTCAAATTATGCCCCGATGGACAGGTAATCCCTACTGAGTTGGATTCTAATAGTGATCTGCCAGCTTCCTTCATTCGTATCAAAGATGCGGATGGGAAGTGCTGTTATGCGAGCCATCTCCTCATGATTGTGACTGCAGATATTTCTGCACAGAGGACAGTCTTACGGGGCGGTATCCTGGCTGAAGAAATGGGCCTGGGTAAGACGGTCGAAATGATCAGTCTAATGTGCCTCCACCGTCGAGAATTACTATCTGAGACCCAATGTCCAAGCCCCATTGGTGGCTTGAGACCCTCCCGTGCAACTCTGATTATAACGCCACCTGCGATTCTCGACCAGTGGAAGGAGGAGATCCTGCTACACGCTCCGAGTCTTCGTGTTTTTCACTATGAGGGTATAAACCGTCACCATGAAATACCAGAGCGTGGGTTGGTTGATATGGTGGCTAATCACGATGTCGTGCTCACGACCTATAATGTTCTTGCTCGAGAGATTCATTTTTCGGGAAATGCTCCGCAGCGAAATCTCCGGCATGAAAAAAGGTTCGAGCCACGGAAGTCGCCTCTTGTTCAAATTCATTGGTGGCGAGTTTGTCTGGATGAAGCCCAGATGATAGAGAGTGGCGTCAGTAATGCAGCCAAAGTTGCTCGTTTGATTCCGCGCCAGTTGGCCTGGGCTGTGACTGGGACCCCTATTCGCAAGGACATCACAGACCTTCTCGGCCTTCTTCTATTTCTGCGCTATGATCCTTTTTGTGGTTCTATTTGGAATAGGTTATGCCGGTCATTTCGCCCTGTTCTGGCGCGTATCACTCAAACTATTGCTCTGAGGAATAGCAAAGATCGCATCCGAGGGGAGCTCCGCATACCACTTCAGAAAAGGGTTGTCATCACAATACCTTTTAATGCAGTTGAAGAGCAACATTACAGACAGCTATATGAGCAAATGTGCGAAGAGTGTGGGCTTGATATTTCAGGCGCACCTATCCACGAAAACTGGAATCCTAATGACTCATCAGTCATTGAGAGAATGAGGAGTTGGCTGGCCATACTTCGCCAGACGTGTCTTCATCCCAATCGCGGTCGAGGATTTACCGCTGGCACTAACGGTCCGTTACGCTCAGTCCAAGAAGTTTTAGAGGTCATGATTGATGAAAACGACGTGAGAATACATGCCCAAGAACGTGAACGTCTCTTATTGCGAATGCGTCGTGGGCAATTGCTGGAGAATGCTATGCGAAAACGAGAAGCACTTGAGCTGTGGAGGACTTGCTTTGAGAGAGCGAGTGTAATCGTCAACGATTGTCGAGGTCGACTGCAAACAGAGATCGAGAGACTTCGAGTATCGAACTTGGGCACTGATCAAGAATCGACACCGAATGAGCTGGCAACCAATGACGATAGTGAAGATTCGGACAAGAGTAACCGCATAGGTATCTACCGACAGAGGCTTCGCACTGCTCTCGAAGTCCAGCATATGGGTATATTCTTCATGGGCAATGCGTACTATCAGATCAAATCGGACCTCAAGCTCACTGACCCTGAGTCTGATGATTTCAAATCTCTCGAGCAACAGGAAGAGGAGGCGTATGCCACTGCCAAGTCCATCCGGAAAGAAATTTTGAAGGATGTGTCTAAGAAGGTAGGAAATCACATGAGAATAATCAGGGAGATGCTGCGCAACAAGCGATATGTGGCCATACCCAAGATGAAACCTCATATATACAACACAGGCGTAGAGGCTCGCCGTGTGCTCGAGAATTTCGAAGATTTTTGCGAGGCTATGAATAAACATGCTGCACAATACGACGAGTGGCGTCAGACCATGGTTCATCTTCTTTCCCAGTCGCTCATTGACCAGGAGGATGAATCGGAGCTTCAAGGCAACGAATACGAAAAATCTACCAAACATCAAGATGAAATGTACGTTTATATGGAGGCACTACGCGCCATGTTCGCTGATCGCCACGACTGCCTGACTGGGCAGAGGAACGTGCTTATTGCTCATGAAGTCAAAGGCGGAGTCGCTCAGGCCCAAAAGGGCGAGGGCCCTTCACCAGAGCTGTTTCTGAATATTATGAACATGCGAAGTCGTATGAAGCCCGATCCTCAATTGGGCTCTCTTCGCGGTATTATCAGTGAGCTTCGCAGCTTGACCACATCCCTTGAATGGCAGGCAACTGAGGGAAGCACCCGGGCTCGGGCCGAAATGGAAATCACCAGTTTGGTGTTGAAGAATGCCAGTGCTATGGCTGCGGAGCATTCCAAGGTTATTTCAAGCCTGGAGAGAGAGGTTGAGATGTTTCGGGACACGATGAATTATCGCCTTGAGTACTATCGCCAATTACAGCAAATCTCTGACACCGTGGCTCCGTTCGACGAGGAGAGCGTCGGAAAGCCCTTAGATGAGGCCACCTTCGAGGCGAAGCTCACTCAAGAGAATGTTATTGATGGAAGAATATCGGCTTTGCGCGCAAAGCACCGCTACTTGATCCATCTTCGAGACGAACCGAGCGTGGATGAGTCCACAAGAATATGCGTGATATGCCAGTCAGGCTTTGAGATTGGTGAGTTGGCATCTCCTGACTAGTTGGAGCCAAGTTTTACTTACGACTATAAGGTGTTTTGACTGTATGTGGCCATCGCTATTGTCAACATTGTTTGGGCATATGGTGGCGTCAGCATCGCACTTGTCCTACATGTAAAAGAAGGTTGAAAGCGAACGATTTCCACCAGATCACATACAAGCCTCAAGAATATGTTGTGCAAGAAGAAAAGGCACCGACCAAGGCCATCTCTGAGCGACCATCTTCCACAAACTCAATCTACCATGATATCAGCTCGAGTACGCTAAATGAGATCAAGAATATCGATTTGAATTCTTCTTTTGGCACCAAGATCGATACTTTGGCTCGTCACATACTGTGGCTCCGTGAGCACGATCCTGGGGCTAAGTCAGTGGTGTTTTCCCAGTACAAGAACTTCCTTGAAATTCTAGCATCAGCCTTGTCCCGGTTCAAGATTGGGTTCAGCAGTGTTGACAGCAAAGATGGCATACAAAATTTTAAAAGTGACCCTGCGGTGAGAGCCATACCTGAGTTGTACGCAACGCTTTGAATTTCACAATACCAATGCTGACAGTCGCCTTTTTCTAGCTGGAATGCTTTCTCCTGCATGCCCGAGCCCATTCATCTGGGCTTAATCTTATTTGTGCAACAAATGTCATATTTTGTGAACCCTTGGTCAATACTGCAATCGAGCTTCAAGCCATTGCTCGCGTACATCGCATAGGCCAGCATCGACCAACAACCGTCTGGATGTATCTGGTCTCTGACACTGTTGAGGAGTCGATTTATGATCTGTCTGTGTCGCGTCGTCTAGCCCATATCATGCAAACGGAGGAACGGCAAGAAGACAGGCCATCAGAGTTTCCAGTAAATGGCGCTCATGGGATTGCAAGCACCACGTTGACTGAGACAGCAATTGATGCGGCGAATTCTCTTGAGATTCAGGATGCGCCTCTTTCCAAAATGATGGCGAGCGGCCCAATGGGTGGTGAACTTGTCCAGAAAGACGATCTATGGCGATGCCTTTTCAGGAAAGCCAACAGTACCCACATGGATGCCGCAGGTGAAGTCGCGAGGTTCTTGAGAGGCGAGGCCGCTGAGCAGAGAAGTGTGGCGTTGATGAATTCGTAACCTTGCCGATTTGATAGTTCTGAATTTGGTGGATGAACAAGCAATCTTCGGATTCCGGGGCCTGATGTGTGGTCGTGTCCCGATTCAGTACTGTATCTAGAGTGGAGCAATCGACAATACCATGTCGCAGATTAACAGCAATCCCCTTGAATGTGGGGCTTTCATGAGACAGGGCTTGTAGCAGTTTGAAGTGCCCAACCGCCCCATGTTCGCTGGTTCTGCTATCGATGTGTCAATACCAAGCCCTCCCATGTCACAGGCGAGCTGGTCCGTTCACACGCTTCTGTGAAGCGTAGTTATGCAATAACCTCAAGACGTTGACAAGACGGACCTATGAGCTACGGAATACCGATCATGCATATTGATAGTACTGCGTCTCGGTCCACTTCCCGGGTCAATACCGAACATCCAGTCCAGCTCCCACAACAATGACTGTTATACGAAGTTGAGGAGGGAGGCGCTCAAGCATCGTAATTTTGCTAATAGGCACCCCCGCGTCCCCAAACCTATTGCCTCTGGGATCTAAGCTTCCCCTCTCAATACTATCGCCCTCGTCATCACCATTGGCTGGAACCCTGAGCTTAACAGATTGCCAGTCTTGACAGAAGCCACTTGGGGGCTGTACAACAACTATTCACGTTAACGCACTCGGAGCCGGCTAGGTTACTAGATTGATGTTGATTTCGATTCAATCAAGCCCGCTAGTTGCTTGATGCAGCACGTCCTGTGAAATCACTAGCCTCAGATACTGCTAAGGCTTCACTTGCGTCCATGTCACCACCTTTGACTGCTACAGCAAAGCAAAGTTGGATTTCTCAGCTCAACGGGAATTGTCCAACATGCTCATGAAACAAACACAGTGAACAAACAGTTGCTAGATTACAAGTTTTGAGTTCGCGGTAATGCAATCCTCCAAGTGCGCTAAAATTCTCACATGAAAAGACGCCAGGCACCCAAAATGAGTGCAGCGGTACCGGTGCAGACACCCCTAGAGCACATATGTCAGTATACCATACTTCACGCAGCAAAGAATTGCGAGATCTTACATTAGCCATTGTAGAGTGGAGAATTTGACTGCTTCCACACGCTCCCTTAAGCCGGCAACCTCCTGCTCGATCCGTGTTTCTGTCTCCTTGATGCGCATTTCCTGTCCATTCGCTTCTTCACGAATCCTGCCTTTCTCGAGGTTCAGATCCAGGCGCACAGACGCCTGTGTGCGTCCAATCTCGTCCCGGAGCCGCGAGTTGAGCTTGGCAAGGTCTGCAGCGATCTTCTCGTGCGACGAGCGCGTCAGTTGCGCTTCGGTCGAGTCTGCATTTAGCAACTCGGAGCGGAGCTTGGCGAAGTCGACTTTTTGTGTATACGCCGATCGTTCGGTGTCTGGATGACGACAAGGTATAAGCATCTTAGTCATCTGCATAAATCTGCCATGTATCCCTACCTTCTCTTAGAACCATTGTACGGGTAAGATTTTGGATCGACTCTTCGATGATATCATTCAAGACTCTCATCATGGCGACAGCCTGCTCCTCACTGAACCCTTCATCCTTTAACCGCTGTACGAACTTCAGAGTATCGAAATGGTGATCCCGTTGCCGGACCGTGGAAGCATGGAAAGCGCGTCGAGCAGGCTTGAATGCGGCGACATAGACACCGTCATAGCGGATAGGATGGCCGAGGCTTTGTACAGCGGGAGGGCTGGTTGTGTGGCGGGCCAAGGCGAACCGCTTTGCGATCGCCGAGGAAGCACCAGTGGCCCGGGGTGTGGCGGAGTGACTGAGGGAGGAAGAAGAGAGGCCAGCTAGACTGTGTGATTGCCGTCTAGCTTGGTTCCAAGAACGTGTCAATTGCTGCTTCTGTTGGCGCGCTGCTGGAAGAGTGGTCGGGGGTGCAATAGTCGTCCGAGCAGAAGAGCCGTTCCAAGTAAGACGGGGCAGGATGGAACGGGGTACCTCCGCAACTGTCTTTTGAGACGCCATTGTTGACACGGAGTTATGGATACCAAAAGAAGTGATGGCCACACAACAGCGCGTGGTAGAGGATCCTAAGCCTGAGCCTGATCTGGGTCAAGAAGGATGGCGCATGATGAGGTGCCTGCCGGTTGACGATGACTAAACCCCGAAGTCGGGGACGGCGGGCCTCGCCTTGCCTGCATGTGATTACTGCCATTTACACACCTTCGACCGCATTCTGCGGTCAAAGCAGAGAGACTATTCTAACACGCAAGATGCCAGAATCCCGGGCTTTTCCGGCTCCTAGAAGCGTGGACGCCTCTGCATGTTCCTTTACAGTCGAGATATATATATATATATACATAGTTTACAATAGAACCGTGACTGATTCAAATTATACTTCACATAGCAACCATGTACAGTATACAGTACAAACCATTCATGCCCCTAAAGCAATTAGTTTATTTTCCTCGGTACCCAACGCGAGCTCAGTTATTCCAATTTCACCCAAATCCATCTAGATCACTTTTAGGAGAAAGCCAGACCATAGCATTTCTTCAGCCCATCTATAGCTCGAACAGCTCCTTTAATAACTTCATGGTGTCATCGGGGTTTTGGACGGCATGACCGATTGTCCTAGGGTCGCTGTAGATCTCGTAGTCATTGCCTCCCTCAAAGCATTTGTCTCCAAAGAAGTGAATCGTCTTGTACTCCACGCCAGATATCTCCTTCTCAGCGGCGACATGCTTCAGGCAGTAGGTTTTGTCCCAGCCAGTAGGGAAAACATCGAAGGAGATCTGGCCGCCAATGGAGTAGCTAAGTCCACTGTGTGATCAGCAACAAGGAAGTATAGGGTGTGTGGAGGTGCCTATCCCAGGACTCACGTGAGACCCCAATCAGGGAACTTCTTCTTGAGAGCTTCCACCAAGTCTCGACGGATGTGATGCACATCATCGTATCTGTAGAGAGGAAAATAGTCAGTCAAGCTCGACTCGCACGCAGACCGCTAGACCTGAGGGGATACACACGCTTGGAACTCATTTCTCTCGTCGAAGCTAGCGTTCCTGCCAATAGGGCTGACATTGATCATTCCGTTGCGAAACTCGATGAAGGTACCACGCTTCTTAGGAATCTTCAGGTCCGCGATGTATTTAAGGCAGAAGTTGACCAGCTCCTGGTATCTTTCCTCTCCAATCCACTCAATGAAGCTGGTACCAGCGAGCGGCTGTCCAAGACGGAAAGCAGTCAAACCGTTCTCCGGGAAGCAAAAGTCAAAGAGGGATGTGACGTTTGTTGTAGCTGAGCCGAGTTGTTCTTGCTGCTTGGCGAAGTCCGATCCACCAACCTAGGCATTATTAGATCGCTGAGGGCCAGGTTTCCATCTGAAGGACTGACATATCCGATAGCACACTTGTGGCGGAGTCGAGAGAGGAGTTCCAGCATTTCTGGCGTGGCACCCTAGTCACAGGCGATCAACCATTAGTCGCGCGGTCGCTTGATATCAAAGACAGCAAGATCAATTGATCCAAGTGCACAACTTCTGAGATCGAGGGAGTAGCTCACCCTTCTCGGGAGGGACAGTGTGTTGTCAACATCGAAAAGACAAATGGTCCCCTGCAAAGGCCGATTCGGCAAAGATGGATACACGCCTGCGCCTTCAGCCATGGTGCCAAATACAATTAAGAGATTTGGTTTGTGAACTTGGTGTGGAAAGCGAAGAGTAGAAAGGGGAGACTTTCAATAGCCACCCGAGAGCGACAAGAGGGTGGAAATGACTCGAATTCAGGGGTGGAAGGCCGCATGCGGTGAAGTGGGGAGGTGATAGCGGGGTCTAGCTCAGGCATCAAGGCTGCACTGTGTGAAGACAGTCGAGGTCGAGACAGTCGATCCACGTGGGTCCCAATGGCTTATCGATAACCTTGATAAGTCCCACAGCTTCGATGACCTACGTACTGTAGGTTGCTTTGTCCGGTTTCGTTCCTCCTGCATTGACCAGCAAGGGCAGCCGGAGACAGATTGTCTCACATGTCAACTCTATGATGATTATTGGGCACTTTACGTGGTACCTAAGCAGCATTGTGAGAAAGACTGTGGCCGACTAGAATCGTAAATTTGAAGTACCAAAAAACTGCAACCAAGGACAGTATGGCTGAAGACACTATTACCCACATTGATACCGTAGGAAGAATGAATAAATTTAAGAGGCCACATGGTTGCTGCACACAGGAATGAGTATCCCACTCCGCATTGTCACATGCCAATGATCTCAACGGCCCATTGTAGTCTGGAATACCTTGGCCGCCAATTCACTCAACAGCCGAGCACGGTCAGTCTGAGGCAGCTCCAGAAAGACCTCGTAGACACTTTTTCCCTTTGCGTCACGTACCGCTCCAAGTCGATTACCCGCGACAGCTCCGGCGAGCGCCCCGGGAGCATTACCAATGATGAACCCCAGTGCGCCGCCACTGATACCGCCAACAACGGACCAGAAGCGTGACGTAGGACGGGTTTGTGTGCGACCATCAGCATCGGTGGCATCACTCGCAAGGCCCTCTTCGCGTAGCATCTCCTCAAAGACAGAGCCAAATTGCTCCGATGCCCGCTGCTCTCTATCAGCAGCGGAACCGAAGCCGAAAGCGGACCATGGGAAACCACCAGCACCTCCTTGAGGTATATCATATTCTTCATCCGCCTCATCTGCTAATCGTGTCACATCGTAATCGCGCCGGCGTGATATATCCGATAATGTGTAATAAGCATCGTTGATCTCTTGGAACCTACGAGTCCGAGCTGGCCTCTCAGCCGAATCGGCAGGCACTCGATCGGGGTGCGATTTCAGTGACTCTCTGTAGATGTGTCAGTGTTGTGCTGGCTCTAAACAAATCAGTAACGTGCCGCACCTTTTGTATGCATTGCGAATTTCTTGTTGGCTTGCATTAGGAGATACCCCAAGAATTTTATCTGTATGAATGACGAAGTCAGTCTGCTATCAGCGTGTCTTCAAATTCGCGGTGGCCCTCTTACAAAGGTCTCTCTGTCCTAAGAGGAAAAGTGAGTATGCGTTCTGCTCGAATATGTGCTGAAATCTGTTGAGATGCACTCACTCGCCATAGTTGGTTACAGTCAGTTTGCTTAGGAAATTCAACTTGGTAGACGAATGCCACCAACTTGTTCTGCACTATGAGCTATGTCAGTGGACTTGAGGCAAAAGTGGTTACTGAAGTGATCGAACCGACGAAAGAGTCAACCGCCCAGGATCACTGATGACGTCGACAGCCGTTAGAGTGCCTGAGCTTCTTGTAAGGCAGCGGGGGCTGAGCCGGCTTGTCTCTCGGAGGCACTTACTAATAGTAAAGTCGACTAGCTTACTCCTTGTAAGTTTTGTCAGGTACTGTACAGTACATACTCATGATATTTACTATCTATGTAGTACCGTACCAGGCACGGACGGGAATGCCCACGGCCACGGGGAGCCCAGCCCCTGACGGATTTGCCCGTCTCTTGACTCTTGAGCAGTGCAGTGTTTCTACCAGGTCTATAAACTTCTTCAATTTACAACAAAGTCATATGTACTTGCATCTTAGCAACATTCTATTGCTCCACATTGATTGACCGTGACAATATTCCCAAGGCATCCTACGCATACCTAAATCCCAGTCTTGGCTATGCTGACAAGATCACCTCCATAATCGCGACCACGATTGCTTAGAATTTAGTACTAGTAGAGTACACTCGTGCATCTGCAGCAGACTAGTCCCAATTGACTCGGCGACTGCTCTGTGCGCCTCCCGCCATCTTTGTCGATCCGATCTCAGAAAGAACACATTCCTGTCCTAGAGGGCACTACGTCCCTCTCGCTGATTGATTGTTCTCGTCTTTCATCCTATCTATACCTGGCAACCATCACGTCCTCCCCCTTATCAACAGCCGTCATATTTCATACACAGTCTGCGCGATCAAAGAGCACAGTCACCTCTTCAAGGCTCCATTGGCTGCTGGCAAGTCCCCATTGCTGAGTGAAAATCATCCACAATGGGCTGGTTTGATGGAAAATCCCCGACCTCCTCTTCATCTCATAGACATCACTCTCGTCGACGCTCCTCTCCTTCCCGACGTTCTACTTACTCGTCCTACAATGCCCGCCATTCCGCACCGTCAATTTTCAGCCTGGGCAGTGGTGTCAATCGTGCAGGACGATCCAGCCCATCGGTGTTCTCCTCCTCCTCACGACGTGCACGGCCCAGGGAAGGCTTTGTCGCACGGATAGTTCACATCATCCAGCGCATCTTTCGCGATGCCTGGAAATATGCACGCGAGCACCCTATCAAGGTCCTGACGCTGCTCGTGCTTCCACTTCTGACAACTGGCGTCCTGCAAAGGCTATTGGGCATGATCGGTATTCGTTTGCCAAAGAACCTCCTAGGAGCATCGGCGCTGCGACCTGGCGGGGCCGGCCTATCGGACAATATCAGCGGACTGTTCAACATTGCCAAAATGTTCATATAGCCCCTAGAACTCGAGCCTCTGCCTTTTCCGATACGACGCTAAACTGTTGATGAGACCTAACGTGTATACTCTACTCACCATTGCGCTTTCGCCGAATTTGCGATGAGCTTTGGACATCTAGAGACGACTGGATATGACTACGAAGATGATGACCATAAATCGATCGACATTTGCAATTGCGGGCTGTTTGCGTGTAAACTTTTCACAGTTTCCTTGGTAACGACTGCAATCATACGATCGCCGTTATAATCACATACTGCTTATTCTTATGCAATGCTCTATAAAGAGAAGGCTTTTAGACCATTTACTAAGAACATGACTATTAAGTTGTAGATTTCCAGAACGTTGTACTCGTATACAAACAGCCGGAGTCGGATGATAAGTATACAAATCATTGGCGCATCTATTCAATGTCTGACAAGGTCGCAGCCGGAAGAACAATGCAAGCAAGGATGTTGGGCTTTGATTCATTCCCTTGGAATTTGATTCGAAATTTGATTCAAGAAATCAAGACTTTTGTGTATGCTTCGCCCTCCGCCTGGATGCGCCCTTGTTGGAAGTTGTAGCGGAGCTAATCACATCCTCAACTGCATCTTGCGCTGTCTCGGCCATCTCCTCGCGCTCGTCTATATCGCTACCCACGGCGTCGGATGAGCCAAGCACTCGGCCGAGGGTTTTGTGGTAGACCCAGCCGGGCATCCGGAACACCATTGTATCGCGGAAGGTTGGGCGTGGAATTTCGTCGACGTCGAGGAGGAACTCTCGGCGTTCTCCATCTTCCGTCTCGTCCTCCAGGAACACATGGCCGACCGAATCCACGATGAGAACTTTTCCATTTTCCGCGATGACACGTTTCCTTTCGCCGGTGGGCTCCACAGCCTCACTGGTAGGCGTTGCCGTCCCCGAGCTGCGACCGTTGGTTCGACCAGCACTTTTCTTGCCCTCTTTGCGGTTTTCTCTCTCCATCATGCGCTTCTGGCGTCGGTTCATTGGCACGGCACTGGGCTCAGGTTCCGGAGTTGGCGTGGTTGATTCGGCAGCGACACCGCCATTCAGTCCAGGGATACCTCGGACACCCGACTCGTCGCCCCATGCAGCTCTGCGGGCTTGACGGATGTACCGATCGACGAATTCCCGCTGACGCTTCCAGCTCAGCACGAGTGCGGCATAGTGGGCACCGCCCCCAAAGACCAGAAACAGCCCGACCAGGACGGAGCCCAAGCCCGGGCGAAAGCGTGAGTAGTAGTATCCGGTACCCTTCCACTTCGGAAAACCATTCTTAAGGAAGTGGTCATAACGCTCCCGAGAAGCTCCACGCAGAATATTGGCAACAGTGTTCAGACGGGCCGCGCGATCGTGAGCTTCTTTGACGGCCGCGTCGATCTCACGTTTCGAGGGGCCCTTGTTAACATGGACACCTGCCTTGTTGGTTTTGGCCCGTGACTTGTCCTTAGAGCTGTTGGCGATGAAGGATCGTCTTACTTTGTCAGGGTGGAGGAGCTTTGACTTCTGACGGTAGGCTTTGGTCAACTCGTCTTGGTTGGCATTCGGTTTCACGCCCAAGATGTCTACACATGTATTAGATTCGTCAACCAACACTGATGGCGCAGGAGACAAGGGAAAACAATGCGGAGGGCGTACCGTAGAATGTCACATTGGCGCCTTCTTTAGAGATGACTTCTTCACGAAGCTGGAAGATTTCGTGGTCTAAGGTGACGTCAATGTTAACAGGGAACAATAGGTTGAGTCGTATATATACGATTGGAGAATTCACCTTCTTTGGTCCAAGCCGCAGACAGGACAAACAGAGCAGCGAAGAATAGCAGACGGAGTGAGAAGGGCTTCATGGTAGGAAAATAGGGCGGTCAAGACCGCTCTGCCCAGTTCAAGAATACTTGCTTGTAGCAATCCGAGCGAGATGAGATTAAGGAGATTGAAAATTTGATTCAATGGCTTATCTGTCATCTACTCTCGCTGCTCCTGTACTGTACATGTGTATGTATGTATGTACAGTACAATACGTGCAGTAGTACACTTATAAACTGCCACGCATCACACCGCCTAGATTGTTTCTTGTAGTAAGTTAATGGTATACAGCAAATATCTTCCACCACCGACTCAAATGGAGGTTCGTTGTCTTCTCCTCTGCTGAAAGAGCGTAGTCAAGTTAGCTTACTACGTATGAAGAGGTATGCGCCAGGTTTTTTTGGCCACTATAAGTGAACAATTCGCTTATATGCGCGACGTGGACCAATAAAGGTTAGAATTGAGCCACTTTCGACCTGTCAGGTAGACAATAGGTAGAATCCCTGACTATGTACGATACTGTACTGCACTGTAATTCCCTTCGGACCACACGTAATGAAGCGAGCTGGGACAAGAAAAGTGTGATTGATGTGTGAGTATTCCGTACTCCAGTTTACATATGTACTGTGCATAATGGCCAGGGTTCTCCGATTTCTGGATGCTGGGCTCTGAGGGGAAAAGAAGGAAGAGGAGGCATTAAAAAAACTTAAATTGAGTCTCAGTCCCTTCTGTTCCCTTCGATACCTTACTCAACTCTCCAAAGGTTCCCAGCTTCAGGTAACGACACGGCTACTGTACGTTATCGGTGCCTGGACGGAAAGAGAACACACTGCTTACCAGGGACTGAAGGCGGAGGCGAAGACCGAACAGACAGACGGTCAAAGTGAGAAGAGGGAAGAAAGAAAGAACAAAAGACAGGTTGATTAACTGCCCTTGGCCAGCTTAGCATGTCAACAAGACATTTGCAGTGCCCCCACTGCGCTGCCGCATCCAGCAACTCTCTTCCTCTCGATTACTATTCTTAGAGCACCCACTGCCTTCTGTCTGTCCTCCAACTTTCTTCTTCAATTGTTTTCGTGCTCTTTCCTAGCAAATTACTTCCTGACTTCACTTTGTCCTTCAATTTGGATTTCTTGGTTTCTTTTTGGCCGCTTTGGGAGGCAGTGATTGCTTCAACGGTACAGTACTCCGTACTCTGTACCTTGTCTGTTATTGTGGTCTGTGTCTATGCTTGGCTTTCCGCACGCCGGGGGTGACCAAAACGGACTGAGCGTGGGCGTTTGGGCCAACTAAGCCAGTTCAAGTCGTTCAGTTGCGGAAACTCTTTGTGTCCACTACGTACACCACGGCTTGCTCTGACTTCTCGCCATTCCCCCCTTTTTCTCTCTCTCGATCGTCTGCATACCTCATTGCATTTGTATTGATCAAAGCAATTCTTCTTTCATCCTTATTGCCCACTCATCTTTGTGCTACCTCTATTCTTCTACTAAACCTCGGTTTGTGTTTACTACTCCTTCCTTTTCACATCATCTCCGCCATCCACTGGACTTTCCAACATGAGTCCCCTCCAATTTCCTATTGATGCGATCACCTCGCGATTCGGTGACCGCTTCAACAGTGTTCGCTCCCAATCCTTCAGCACGCGCTTTGCCAATCTCCGTCCTGTTTCCGAGTTCCTGGATGTCAAGCGTATCTCAAAGCCCGCCAACTTTGGCGAGGTTCAGAGCCGAGTGAATTACAACTTGTCTTATTTCTCGAGCAATTATGCTGCCGTCTTTGTGATGCTTAGCATTTACAGCTTGCTGACCAACCCGATCCTGCTCTTTGTTATCATCTTCGTGACAGGTGGTCTTTACGGAATCGGCAAGCTTCAGGGCCGAGACCTCGATCTGGGCGTTGCCCGCTTCAACACCTCTCAGCTGTACACTGGGCTACTGCTTGTCGCGGTCCCCCTAGGATTTTGGGCCTCACCCATTGCTACGGTGCTCTGGTTGATCGGAGCCACCGGCGTGGCCGTCTTTGGCCATGCCGCTTTCATGGATAAACCAATCGAGAATGCTTTTTCCGAGGAGGCGGTCTAGGTGGTCGGCCGCGAACTCCTTACGGTATGCCCCGATGGGGAAGACCACCGCGGGCACGAGTGGGGAGACAAACCAGGAGACGTGCGGCTCCGTGGGTGGATGGGAGCTCAAGGGTTGAGGAGCTTGACAGCGAGGAGGACGATATATACAGTCGCCAAGATATGCGCATATCGCAGGCAAGGCAGGCAGCGGATCGGGAGATCACTGGAGGATCGATGCGACGGAGGCGAATGGTAGAGTTTGACGCGGTCTACGAAGACGAAATGGCATCTGTCGATGAGATGGACTACGACCTACAGGATAGCATGGACAGCACGGTGGCTTATGCAGTGCAGTTAGCCATGAAGGACAAGGAGGAGCGACTAGTAGATCAGGCTCTCGACCGGATACGACGCGCGCAGGTACAGGGCCAGAAGAACGTGCGTTTATCGAAGCGGGAGCTAGAGGCGATCGAACGCATGCGGACCGGATCGAGAAGCAGAACCGAGCAAGAACCCCGTGCCAGCGCGTTGGAAGGGACGTCCTTTGACAATCGATACTTGAAACCTCCTGAAAGTTCCAGCCAACGAGCTACAGGGGAGGCACCTCGTGGTGGTGGTCCCTATGTGTCATCCTCCCCCAGAAAGCACAGCGTGCCGTCTCCCCTTGCAGAAAACAACAGTGCCTATGCCTTTTGGGCGCGCACTTCGGGTGCTTCTCTCGACCCCGAAGCCTCACCCCGATCGCCATCTTCTCGCTCACAATCCAGTCATACGCCCCCTCGATCTCCACTTCAGCCAGCTTACTCACTGGAGCCTTTACCATCAGTACCTCTTGTTCACAATCCTGGATCTATGCGGAGACCGGCCTTCACGCGCCCTCTTCACGACGAGACCCAATGGAGACCCTCCCATCGGCCCCCTCATCCTATAAATTCCCCGCCGTACCCGCTAGATCCTCGACGCGATTCGGTTGGCCATTCAGGAAAGACATCGATAACTAGCTATCGGAACATTTTTGACGATCGTCCTAACAGCGCACGGAGTGCGACTATGGGGCAAGGGCGGCCGAGGAGGGTGACGGAGAAATACCCCCGAGAGGATGGAGGGAATCGAAGCAGTGGATTGGAGGACAGTAGCGATGAAGTGCATATGGTAGACGTGTTGGAGCGGCGAGTGCCGCTTGGCATGCCAACGCGGGTGCCAGTTGGGCGAGGAAGTTATCATCGCGGCAGTCGTCCTTGAAGTCCCGTACGCTTGTGCCTGTAACCTATGAAGCGCGTCTTGGAGCATTGTTTAGATTAGAGTGTCCTTTAGCTATTCGACTCAATCAATTGTCATTGTCACCGTGCGATGCGAAGATCCTAGCAGGGGCGTAAATACGGGGTAACTTATTTGGCGAGATGGATCGAATAAGGAAGAGAATATGAATAGGAATATATATATGTGTTATTTGTGCGCAAGGATAGTAATTGAGCCAGCTGCCTTGAGATGTGGTCAGGAATCCCAAAAAAGGAAAGGAAAAGAAGTGGAAAAAAGAAACAAACCGAGACCTATCGAGGACAAACGAATCAGAGAAGAAAAGACTTGCTAAGCTTGAGCTAAGCTTCAACATGGGAAGATTTGCGAGAGGGGGAAAAGGAAAACTGCGACGATGACGTCGACGAAGCCTGCGGAGTGATGATGATGAAGACGATGATGATGATGTTAATGCTGGGATATTACTAGCCGATTAAGTAACCTAAAAGGTACGAGTAATGCTCGGTGGGTCTCTCTTCCTCCTCGTCGTCGTCATGGATCTCTTTCCTGCCTGAGCAATTAATTATTGATAATCACCTCCTGTCCCTCCCCTCCTCCCCTCCTCCCCTCCTCCCCTCTTCTCCTTCAATCTTCGTCTTCTTATGTGTTTGTTCGTTCCACACTTACCTACCCTGATTCAACGCGTCACTCAGCTCCCCAGCCCTGAGGTTCAAGCTTGGTACTGCATCGGCAGGCTTAAGCCACTTCCGCCCCTTCCGTTCCAGCCGATTGTTTGAACGCTTGAACGCTTGAACCCTGCGAAGGTGTACGTACTGTACTAATTTCCAGTACTTGAACTACTCATCATTAAACCGGTCGCAAGCTGTTATTCCTCGTAGAGAGCGAACCACAGTTTCGCACAAGGCCTCATACGGCGCATCAATCGCGGCGCAAGTCTTTGGGACATACCTGACCATGTGGATCATCTCATTTTGGGTCTTCCCGGTCATTTCAGCATGCACCTGGGTTGGTATGCAGCTTATATTATCACACTACAACTTCCCAGGCACGATTGCTAACCAATTGATTGCTCAATCCAGCCATGCTAATTGCCATGCTGGCAACATGGGCTCGAGAAGGGAGCCCTATATACGCCAGTATGGAAACCGGTCAAACAATCGCGTGAGTCTATATCCTGTGTCCGTCGTCAAGACAAGCCATGCGAGCATCAATCTCCAGGTCCCAGCCCCAAGTCCACTAACTAAAGTCCCTTTCTCTGGCCATCTTCTAGCTATATCTCCGACGTTGGTGCTCAGGGCCTCAAGCCCCTTTTCATTGCAGGGAGCTGCGTGACTGTCGCCTTCCTCGACCTCTCCTTTCTCTCCGAACGATGGCTTCGTCATGCAGGGCAGCTGGTACCCAACAAGGGTCTGTTCGATAAAGGCTGTGCGATCGCCTCCATCTGCTTCTCGATCGCCGGTGCGTTGGGTTTGATTCTGCTATCAATTTTCGATACGTTGCGGCATCCGCATATGCATGATGGGTTTCTGGTGATGTTCTTGTGAGTACTATTCAACTCCAGAGCGCAGCGAATGGCATTGTTGGAACACGAGCCGGTGAAAGAAGCGCGTAATGGAAAAGAAGCTAGGAAAGTTGCTAACGCATTTCATCTTTACCATTTGCCAGGGTGGGCTACCTCATCAGCGCAATCCTCATCTGCTGCGAGTACTGGCGGCTAGGGATTTTCTACCGCTCGCAGCATCGTGTCCTCCTGGCCAGTTTCATCATCAAGCTCGCCTTCGTCGTCATCGAGATTGCGCTGGCCATTGCGTTCGGCGTCCTGGGAAACAAGGGCGGGCATTATCGCAATGCCGCTGCGGTCTTGGAATGGGGTAGGTCATATGGTCGTGATCGTGCTGAACATTGAACGGGATAGCTGACGGATGGTACCTGAATTGCAGTGATCGCTTTGATTTTTACGTTCTATGTCCTGTCCTTTGTGGTTGACTTGTTGCCCTCGGTTCGCACCCGAAAACATGTGCCGCAGGGCGAGAAGCGCATCGAAATGAGCCGGAACGGACACGCCCATGTCAGCAACAGCATCGACGAAGGGACTGAAGAGGTGCCCGTCACTACCGACTCGGCCGGTCCCAATGCGAACTACTATCGCGGTCAACGGATTTAATCGCTCGATTTCTTCTACCTTGGAGAGTTCGATGACCTTCAGTGCACATATATATACACACACATGTGAGATGAGACCATAATATCATGATACCCTGCGAGATTTGTTTTGGATGGAATTCCTTAGTTATACTTCTTGACCCCGATTATTCTGCGTTTTCTCGTGTATGGTGTGATCATCTTGGATGTCACTTCTGCCTAATCTTTGCATCTAGAACACATGACGGACTTACCAGTTCTTATTCAATATCAAGATTATCATTGCCATCATATGCCATTTTGATTATTGCACTTTGTTGCTTCACAATTGCGATTTTGCGGAGAGTTGTCTATATTCCAACCCATGGGGTATTCTCTCTAGCCTAGGATGTATCACGCGAGTAGACTTTTCCTGATTCTTTCCAGGTCTAGTTGGTCCACCCCCACCTGCTTCAGATATCCCTCCACGCCCCCATACTTCGTATCCAGATGCGCACAGATTTGTGCAGTAAACCCATCGGGACATTTGGTATAATCCTCTGACAGCCCTAGCATCCGGATCTCTTTCATCCGCTCCTCTACCTCGACGACCAACTCTCCCTCGGAGAGGACATAGTCGGCCCGGATGGCCGCTTGGGTTACAGCGCCCGTCAGGAGCAGAAGGAGAAGGATGATCAACCCCGTGCGGTCCTTACCCTGCGTACAGTGGACGATAACAGGGTAGGGGGAGGCGGGCGATGAAGAATCCGTGCTACTGCCGGGTGTGCTATGTTCCGAGCTAGCCTGCGTCTCGCTACCGGCAAGCAACTCGAAAATCTCTCTCATCTCGCTGAAGCTACTATCGAGAGTATCGATGCCGAGCCCGATGAGGCCGCGCGGAGACATGACCTGCTGGCCCACGATAACGACCGCGTCGGTCCGGTAACCGGATGCTGCAAGCGCGATGACTTTTCTTGGGTTTGGTAAGACTGGTTAGTCTTCACTCCGCCTGGTTTGCTGCTGCTTTTAAGTTCCCTCCCCCCCTCCCGGGCCCCCCATTTTTCTTTATGTATGACAAGCTGTTTGGGTTGTTGGCGAGTGGGCAGAACTCGTCGAGAAGTTCTTCGACTTAGAGAGAACGAAGGAGGACCAAGACCAAGGAAGAGGGGAGGGAACAGATGACGAGACAACGGGGGAGGAAGAATTACAGGAAGTTCCACCAATCAAGGCGCCAAAGTAGAGTTCGCTCAAACGCTCTTCCAGTGAGACTGACCATCTTACGTTGGACATGTGGGAGGTCAACGAGGTGGATGTCATCTGGGCTGGAGGAGGAGGAGGAGAAGGCCGTGGGAGGGGGAGACGGGGTAGATGATGCAGTTGCAGTGGTGGGGTTGTTGGCATCGTCGCTAGACTGATTGCAGGAAGCACGGGCGGTCTCAGAAAGGCGTTTCGTGGCGGCCATGTGGTGTTCGGTGCTAGGATCCAAGGGTTTAGTTCCTGGTCACCGTGTGTCTGCCTTTTGGGGGGAGGTTAAGTTACGCGACAGCGTGCGCTGTACACCCACCTGGATCGAAGGTCAATGATGGTGGAGATGTGGTACTCTTCAATCAGACGACGCTTGTCACGTTCGGAGGCTTCGTCTAGCTAGATTACATAAAGAAGAGGGGGTCTTAGTTTCTTTCCACTGAGGTGGTCTGGAGTGGTTCTCCTTGGATCGAGTAGCTGGGTCATACAGTACTCCGGAGTGAAATCTGGAAGGATAGAAAGGGATAGATAGGTACCGTACCCTGGCACTTCGGAAGAGAACACCTTCTTTGATTACCCTGTGCAGAAGTTGTTAGCGATGCGTACGACCATCGTTGTGCTGTACATACCGTCGGCCAAGCAACTGGTTGACGGTCCGGCCAACATCCCGAAAGTTGATGATATTGTCAAATGGTCGATCAGCCGAGTCGAGGTCAATACTCGACTGGCGGAGGTGGGCTGTGACCATCACTCAGAGGAGAAGATAGTTGATCAATAAACCATATATTATTATACAACCATGCCTAGTATGGGGGATGCGGACATGGGGACGGACGATGGACAGATGGGAGAGGGAGTGAGTGGACCGGGGGAATGTGAAACCGGCGAGTTGCCGCCATTGATGGATTGTTTTCTTTGGGTTTAGTCTGAGCCTCAAGCTCTTCTTTCTCATCATGAAACTGAACTTTGCAGACGTTTAAGTTGTCCACACATTAGACACAAACACTACATAGTACATACACCGACGTAAATGACACATCTCGATTTTATAGCCCTTCAGGCCCATTTGATCTGACAGTACGGAGTAGATTGTTTGTAACCAGGAACCTTTGTACCCTTTTAGAAATTGAAGCAAAAATTGCGCCTCCCCCACCCCCTATGAGTACCTAAGGACAAAAGACACGAACAAAAACTAAATAACAACCGAGCATGATATGAAAGGAATTAGATAAAATCATTAACCATGAACCATAAACCATCAAACCATAAAACAAGAATAGTGACAGAATTAACCAATAGAGGTTGACCACAAGATTGAGTTAGCGGTCATCTCAGATTAAGTATGGGAACCAGTCAAAACATCCACAGGGCGGCAGGCACCCGGCTTCATTCTACAATTTCTCCGAGAATCGCGACTCTCGGCCCGTGCCATCGCTGGCTCGTTTCCCAACCAAAGAGGGCAGAACCTGGCCATGTTCAGGCACACTTGCCCGTCGGTCTGGTCCCTCTACAGTATGCTTTGGAATTGCCTCCGAGCTTCTTCGGGCGACGTCATGCTTGATGGCCCCACCAGTCTTCGCCTCGGTTGAGCTTCTCGAGACCATCTTCTTGAAGCCAGACATCAATCGATTACGATTGGTCTCATCAGCCGGCACGTCTTTAGCATTGGAAGCTTGTTGAACCGCATCCTCCTCGATACGACTAGGTTGCTCTGCACTGCCATCATCAATGGTTATTGCCGTCATGGGATGGGACTGGAGCGCCGCTTTTCGTGGTTCCTCGTCCAAGTCCCCTTCTTTGGGTGCTTCAGCCGTGGCAGGAAGCTCGGGCATCTCAGGAGAAATACCCTCTGGATGAGCGATCTCCCATGCTCTTCCTTGGCCCCCTTCAGTAGTTTGCGGTGGCTCGGATGTGCTTGAAGTCTTGGTTTCTTTGACCTCGCTTGCGCCCGATGGCTCAGCTGCTTCTTCAAGTCCTGTTTCTCCTGCGACATCTGCTGTTTGTGGCACGCTAGGCTCTACTTTGGCTTCCTTCGACTCTCTGGAGCCTTCAGCCTGGTTGGAGCTTGCGCGACGTCCCATTCGACCTTTGAACCACGACCTGAACTTAGATTCTGGTTTGGTAACAGGCTCGCTAGAAGTGGGCTCGGCTACTGCACCAGCAGCAGTCGCACTGGTATCATTATTGGCGGTCGTTTGTGGTACAGATTCGGCGGATGCTTCATCGACCACTCCTCCTGAAGCGTTAGCAGCCGTATCTTGCTCATGGTCGGAGAAGCGCTTCGATTTCCTTTTCCATAGCCAAGACTTTTCATCTCTAAACTTGCTCTCAAGTCTCAACGAGTCTAAACCGGGTTAGAGGCTCTGTAGCAGTGCGAAACTTCTTTCAGACACTTACCTCGTAAACGTTTCTCCTCAGCTTTGGTCTCTGCCTCGCGTTCGCGATACATGGCTTCTCGACGCTGAGCTTCTTCCTGGTCCAGTCTTTGCTCCAGCTCTCTTGCACGTTGATGCTCAGCTCGGTCAGTGATTTCGTCGAATGTGGGTTGCAGTCGAGATCGAGCCAGCGCCTCCACATCGGACATGTCCACAAAGCGCTTGGAACTAATATTCACTCGGTCAACCCCTTGGTATTGCGAGTCTGCTTCTTGCCTCTCCTGTCTTTCTAGCATGGCACGTGCTAATGCAGCCTCTTCGATCTCCTTCTGCATGGACGGGGGTGCGCGACCGGTTTCCGCATAGACTCTCATCTCCATGTTTTGGATGGTGGCATCGACGTTCTTCCTTGCCGCCTCCATCAAGAGTGCGCGATCCTGTTCCCTTCTCTCGTCTACGGCGTTGAGCTTTGACCGAAGACTGGACATTTGGTGCCGGATCTCTAATGTTCGATCGGCATCCCCACTGGAGACATCCGTGTCAATTGAGGTTCTGCGTCTGCGGGCTTGCAAGCTGGACCGGGTGGGCTGAGGCTCAAGACCATAATACTCCCGGTAGATGGCTGTCTCATCCTGCATGCTGGCCAGCTTTTCGGCCGCGCGTTTTTCGGCCGCATCCTGCAGGCTGAAGGCTTGTTGGAGGATCATGGGCTCCGCGCCAGTAGGTGAACGCTGCGATCCCGTTCGAGCATGGCCTACGTGGCCTTGCTCCTTGGCCTCTACCGCGGCATACATCTCCCGGGCCATGGACAGAGCAGCAGCTTGCATAACACTTCTCCGCTTGTGTTCCTCCCGCTCTGGAGAGACTGGCGGGGAAGCGGTGTAGAGACGCGCATTGGTGATAGCGATATGTTGGATCCGGCTTGCCTCCATGGAACTGTCAAGATCTCCGAGGGCCTCATCGGTGCTCATTCCTGCGTGAGGGACATCCAAAGGCACCGAGTCGGCTCGCCTCCGGCTGCCGGTCAACGCACCGGTGGCGGCACGAAGCGCCTTCTCTCGATCATCTAAAGAACGCCCAGCGGTTGCATGTACTGCGACCAAGTCTTGCTTCAGATCAGAGGACGTCGGAGAGCGCGTCGAGGGTGAACGACGGTTCCCGAAGACATAGGCGGCTGCCTTATAGCCTTCCCGGCTAGGCGAATCCGAGGTTCGCTGATGCTCAACGACCGGAATCGCGGCAGCTTCCTTTCTGGCATGGGCGAGAGCGGCGACAGCTGACGCATGACTGAAGCCAGGGCGAGAACCAGTCGCCTTCAAGGCTAAGGTAGTGAGGTGTATGTGTTAGTGAGGAAGATGCGACCAGTTTGCAAGACCAGAGTGGTTACTCACTCAAGCGTTCTGTTTCAGCGGTGGAAGGCTCACGCACCGATAGTCTGCGCTCCGGATGGGTCACATACAGGGCAGCCGTGGCAGCTAGAAAGAAATTAGTTGTTTCATTACCACAATATTTCTGGCTATTATCATTACGAAATGCTGGGGGCTTGATAGTCTGATGCAAGAGGAGCATTAAGCAAGGCGATCGGGGGCGCCGATCTTACCTTGACCCGCCAGACGCACGGAGCGGGAACGCGGTAGCGTAGTGGTAGTGGTAGACGTAGGTCGTTCAACAGTGGCCATGTTAAGATAACGACCGTCGTAAGGAAGCCGAACAAGACATTACTTGACCAGAAGTATCACCAGGGAAAAAGGAAGAGAAAGAGAGATGGAGAGAGGGAGAGAGGGAGAGAGTTTTGAGGGGAAGGGAATAGAGTTTCAAACGGAAAAAAAAAAAAAAGAGAAAGAGAAAGAGAGTACTACTCGTAAGAGAAGAAGGAAGCTCTTTCGGAAGGAGGGGGAAGAACATCATGGGTAATGACGATGATCATGGAGGATCGACTGTAACCCAGCATCAATCAGTCTTCCGAAAGTATGGAACGCACTGAGTATGCGCCGGGCCCATCCGTGGATATGGAGAAGAGAGGGTAACGAGAAGGACCAGGAGAGAAAGTGACATCAGCTTCCCGGAGCTGATGTCATCATGAAGAGTGTTACACACCTGGAGCTACAGCTAAGTTACAGCTAACTACAGCTTACAGCTACACTCACTACACATACTGTGTCCGTTTGCATGTAACTATATGTCCGGTGGTAGTACTAAATAACTACTGACTACTCCGTAACTACGGAGCATATGTCAGTTCTTCCAAGTTCCCTTTCTCCTGCAGCTCCTTCAGCCTTACCAGTTGATTTCTCAACTTGACTTAACTAGGTGTTCTCTTAAGTACGTTATGTGAAGATCTGATTTCTAAAGCAAGAAAGGGCGCGAGATAAAAAAAAGAAAAAAACAAAAACAGAAAAAAACAAAAGAAGAAGAAAAGAGAAAAGAAAAGGAAAAAGGGGAGGTAATATATTCATTTTCTATCTTTTTTTCCTTTTCTTCCGATCAATCTGATTTTCACTCCTATTCCCTTCTCCCTCTCTCTCCCACTACCTCTTTCTTCCATCCCTCCCTGCTCAGCCTCGGGATGGGGCTATAGCGGGATTTAATTAGACAAGTCAAGGTCATCCCAGCCCGCAATGGCATGGCATCATGCTCTTTTCAAGCCCTGTTATTTTTTCTACCCTTATAGTTATTGTGAATGATAAGGCCACTTCTTTCTTTTGTTGTTAGACTATCCCCATCTAGCTAGACTAAGCATTCTTATAAGTTTCTCGTATCCACCCCCTCTCACTCATTAGGATTGTCGACTAATCTCTGATCCTCTCTCTCTCTCTCTCTCTCTCTCTCCCTCTCTCCCCGCACACTCTCACACTCTTACACCCAGAGCAGTCATTCGCTAAGCCCCTCCTCCCTACTTCTTCCATTCAGTTGCTCCCTCGGCCTCTTCCTCTTCCTCTTCCTCCTCCTCCTATATTTACTAGTAGTAGTGATAACCGAAGACCAAAGAAAAAACATCCCGGGCTTTACTGCTACCAGTTCTCTCTCCCTCTCCCATCCCTCCCTCCCCTCCACACCAGCGAAACCCCCCCATCATGTTCTGGTTTCTCTCTCACCGCCGTCGACAACAACATCAACAACAGGCCTTGCTCCCGTTGTTCTCCCTCCTCTCCTCGGCTTCCTCTTCCTCTTCTTCCGCTTCGAGCTCAAGCCTCCAAATACGTAGAGTATTAAAAGCCCCGGGCCGGCCCATTGCGATTCGTGCGGATCAAATCACCGATACTAAGACCACTCTCGTCGTGCGCCCCCAAGGCGATGCCCAATCTGCCGTGGCGTACAAGATCGAAGACCTCGATGGAGTTACCCTCTTCACCGCCACCGGCCGCAAGTTCTCGCACCGTCCTTGCCGCGAATTCCGCGATGCCTCGGGCCTTCCGCTGTTTGAGCTGCACCGACGCCTCTCTTTCCGCAACAATTGGTCCGTCACGCTCCCGGGCTCGTCCCTCAAGGATAAAACCTACTCGCCACTGGCTACGGGTTCGCGGCGTCGCGCAAGTCGCCGATCGGCCGCTTCCTTTGGCTCGACCACGCGCGGGGGAAACTTCACCATCACCTTTGATAATGTCGCCGCCGTGGACGGCAAGCAGCCGGAGGAACGGGCAATGACCCTAGAGGTGCAGCGGCATGGGAATGTCCTCGCGCTGTTCGACATCGTCGATGGGGATCGTAAGATCGCGGAAGTGAGGGAAAGTATCCGCCATAACGAGAAGCTGGCCTTGATGCCGGCCTCGCGCGTGGGCTACAGGCCTGTGTTGGATGTCATTGTGACACCCGGGGTGGATTTGGCTTTGGTACGTTAGATTGCTCCCACCTGGTTGAGCACGCGCAGAACAAACTAACGGTGATTTGGTGCCCACAGGTTGCGACCATCGCGGTCATTGCGTCAGACACGGTTTTTGCATCGAATGATTGAGTTTGTTCAGCCAAGGCGCATGGAAGGAGCACATGATTTTGGATGCCCATGACAATCATGATTTTCACGACTGACTTATTTTATTTGCAATTTTGGATTCTGTTTATGAACGGGCGTTATGATTGACTGCACATTGAGCAATGACATGCTTTCTTTCTGTCTAGCGCTGGCGCTGGCGCTGTCTTCGGAGTGTCAGGTTTGTCCTGCTGGTCTAACTGTTGAAGGCAATTTGTCTCCTAATGTGCTATTATGAGTTGAGAATGAAAAGACCTGTACCGTGTCCGTCCTCAGGAAAGCTGCACCGTTTCATGAATTACCGCAGATGCAAGATCTTCAGTATATCGTTTCAGTGAAAGAAAGAGCGGTTCCACTTGCCAAACACATCTACCTTCCAGTCAGCAGAGCAGCTCAATCTCAACATCATCGGCAGCAGGTAAGGCAACCTACACATGGGAACACTGAGGGCACAAATAGCCATTTGAATGCTGCCGATCGCCAAGAACGCTGGCCGGATCCCGTTTGTCAATACTCAATTGGAGGCAAAAAAGGTCAGCACAAAACTGAACAGGTTCTTAAGCACCAACATGCAAGTGAACGATTCAATGGCAATGTTTCCTGTTATCATTCGTCACGAGTTGGTCCAGACCACCGGTACATAGCCTGACTCACGATGTATCCACAACATACAGAGCGCTGGACACCGCGCCCATCACCATCCCAGTGATGACTTACGCGAAAAAAGCGTCCGCTACGAGCCAGCCGTACTTTGCAATATTTTCAGCCACAAGGCCAGAGCCAAACAGCCCGGCTCCGCTGAATATCAGCTGAAATATGACCAGGAGGATCCGGAACTCGGGTTCGTATCGTCCTCGGTTGAGTTTGATCATAGCCTGGTTCATCCAATCGGACAGTAGACCCGCGATCACTAGGCCTAGAATGGATTCAATGAATGCACCAGTGTAGAGATAACCCGTTTGTACCTCGTTAAACCATAGTGGAGGCCCGAGGAAGAGGGTCTCCAGGACCACGCCAATGAAGACAGTCCATCCGATAACGACGCCCTGGATCAGACAAGCCTATAGAATCTTGGGCGTCAGGAAGCTGCTGCAATAGTCTCGTTTCTTGCAGGTGACGACTTACCCAGAAAATGACTGGGTGAAAAAAGAGGGGGAAAGGGCGTAGAAGAAGCTTGTAAAAGCTTTCGTCCGTTTTCCGGCCATTGAAGGGTTTGAGAGTCTGCAGATAGGGAACCTTGACGGGGAGCTCGGTCTCAGCTGAATTATCTCGAGGCATTTCTTTGGACGTGGAGCCTCGTGCATGTCTTCCTGTTGGGGGCTGTGCATGTTGCACTGGTCCGCCTTCCTCGCGACGGAGAAAAGCGTCATCGCCATCCAAATCGAGTTGCGGTAGCGGGCTCGTAACAGTTTCCGAGCGGCGGCCATGTACATAGACTGTGCCCATACTCAACTCGCTCGGGCGCCGAAATGCAGTCTCAGGGACACAAAAAAAGGTAAGAGGAAGTGCTGCCGCCGTGAAAATCGACACCAGATAGAATGTCCATTCCCAGCCCAGACTATGGGTGATTTTACCAGCTAGGACAGGTGTGAGGAAAGCAGCCCCGAACAAGGCAGCGTTGGACAGTGCCATCCTCTTGCCCCGTTCCTGAGATTTTATCTCATGAGCGCCAGACTCGACATATATCAGTCACTTTAACAATGGGGAGCAACTTACATGAACGTAGGATAGGTCCCCGACACATGCATTGACCAAAGCTTCGAAGGGCGCCAGTGCAACACCTTGAAAGATTCGCGCCCAGAGAAGGCTCTGGTAGCTATGCTTGCTGGCTCCTGCCCAGGCACAGCTCGCCACCATTAGTGAGCTAGTTGTTGCGCAGAGGACGGAGACAAAGCAGAGAGCGAACAGAATGCAGTCGCGCCTCCAAAGTGGCCAATTCTATGCCATGTAGTATTAGTTGATGCCACCTCGATTTTGACTTTTTTTCCTTTCTGCTTGCACGCACCAAAGGATCATTGGAATCATTGCTGGGTTGTGGAACAAGAAGTATTGGTATTGAAGATGTGCGGTCATACTTCAGTCCAGGATCAGGAAATCGATCATCATAGGAGCACTGCGTTTGAAAGATGTCCGATGTCCATGGTCAAAGTCCTTCAGTCTCAGCTATGTCAATAATGCAACAAGCACGGTTTCCTACCTGGCACATCTACATCCTTTGTATATAAAACTCCTAGTCCCATTGTGATTGGAAAGGGCTGACCTGTTCAATGGGTTCTGAAGCCAGATGAAGATTTTCAGAGAGAAGGTATGCAGAGACCAGCAGCCTAAAATATGGCTGTCGACTCTCTCGAGGTGGAGCAGAGACAAGTAACGTGTAAGGCTCCCGTAGGCTGTCACCAATTGTCTTGTCTCTGTGAAAGACGACCGAGGCATGAGGGAAAGGTTCAACCTTGAAGACCATGAGCCCTGCAAGGGCTTCCACTGGTTAAAAGGTCGGCAGAGCCTTGGTTTAGTGGTTTGTGCAACTGTGGGAAATTGGTTCAGCCGAAGAACAGAAAGAGGGCCAGTGACAGTTCCACAATTGGTGGTATTGCTGTTTGCCGGTGACAAAAATGCCATTGCAGTCACAATCATTCTTCTACCGCAGCTATGGCTTGGTGTCAAACATAGGAAGTGTAATCTTTGGCTAATCTCACATGCATCTGTTTGATTTCATGGAACGTGGTATCATAATAATTGATGTACAGTACGGTACACTATTTACAGTACCCTCCACATAATTAATGTTCCGGTCTCGAGGACAGAGAGGTGTATATTGCTTGTGGGAATTATCTATATTTACTAGTCTCTCTTGGAAAACCTCCTGCGCTCCTTTAAGCCCCTTGCTTTTCAGTGAGTGGTTGATTCCTCACTAACTGTATGCACTTTTACTTATGTTTGACAGTATGAGTGACTTGGCTGTGGGACAACACGAGGGACGCGGAGGTGTGGGGGAAATTTTAAGATTGGAACTCTAAAGTTTAGCGCGGGCTGAGTGGAACCAGGCACACACTTGGTCCGACCCCGGCGATTGGTACGTACTACTTCTCCTCCTACCTTACTGCTATACTTTACTCTACTGCAAGTACATACCGTCAGCACAGTATATACTATTCTCTGTAGGAGCAGGTAGTCAGAAAGTTCCGTAGGTAAGGTGGGGTGGTGGTGGTGGTGGTGGTGGTGGTGGTAGTAGTAGTAGTAGTAGTAGTAGTAGTAGTAGTAGTAGTAGTAGTAGTAGTAGTAGTAGTAGTAGTAGTAGTAGTAGTAGTAGTAGTGGTGGTAGTAGTAGTAGTAGTAGTAGTGGTGGTAGTAGTAGTAGTAG